GATGGAATAACAGTGATTTCCAAATTTTTTCTCATAATTTATCTGATAATCTTGAATTTATAAAGTGTATTTAATGTACAACGTCAAAATGTCAGAAATACGTTTTTCTTTAAAATAAAAAAATTTATCTTCCAAAAATAACACACCTGAAAAGACAGTTTAATGAAAAAGTTGATTGTTCTACATACCGGCTATATAGCGAGTGAAAATGCATTTCAAAGTAATTAATTTCTCTTCACACTTTTTGTAATTTCATGAAAGTAAGAAATACTTACTTACTGGTGTCTGGCTTGAAATTTAGGAATATAAATACAAGTTGTAAATATGAATTGAAATTTCTCATTGTTTTTTTTTCTTAGATTTTCAAAAAAGACTAATCGATTAGCCTGTATTTGTGTATCAAATATAGGTGTAAATCTAGGCAATATGGTGATGGAGTCCATCATAGCTTGAAAAAATTTAGAGTGCGTCCATTTTACCACTTTTCTAACACCTTTTGTGCCAATAAATGGCTCTCACAAACACTTTGTTTAAAACATTCATGTAAATCGACAGAATTTAGGATGTTCAATAACCTTGTCACCGTCTCATATCGTTCGTTGTTTCAACTCTAAATTATTTGTACATTTATAAAGATGTAAATAAACATAATTTCAGTTTTTTTTAAATAACCACTAATATGAAATTAAAAAGCAACTCCATTAGTCGGTCGTTCATTTTTATTATGATTCTTCAAAAGATATTATCAGACACAGAATGGTAAACAATATGAGACTCATCGTAAATGTTCATTTATTTCTACGCTCACGTTTGTGAAAGACAAAAGGTGAGGAAAATATAATCAATGAAAAATATTCTTTAACAATTTAGTAGATTTGCATGTTGGAAGAAGAGAAAACATGATTTAAAGTAAGATGTAAAATTTGTAGAGTACTGCTAGAAAGTTATGAATGAATACATTCGAATTAATGTTACTGATCTTGAGTTACACCACCCAATCTCTCTGATTACACATTACGGTTGTGCTTCATTGCCTAATGGGAAAACTGTGTTTCCCTACAAGACCATAACAAGAGGTTCGTAATTTCATGAACTACTGATGTTGTGACTTGGTTCAGTCAACAAAGGCCCTTTCACAATCCTGCATGAAGTCTAGTTCGTAGAAAAGACCAAGGAAATCATGTTTAACTAAATCAAAAGTAACAAAAGCGAATTTCGAGGAGATTTTGCAGTTGTAAATGCATCAAAATCCCGTAGGAAGTCAGTCGAGACCCGAATAGCTCATTAGTAATTTCTCTGACTGCAAAGCTACGTGACACTAGATTGAATTTGTCAGAGTAAATAAGTTACATCTTGCTGACGAGTGTCAAATGGCGAAACTTATGTTCGTGGTTTCTTGTCAACCATCTTCAACCACCACCTACCTTACATGGTAATGCCTTTTCTTCTCCTTAAAGAACTTTCAGTGTGATACTTTGTTTCATTTTTAGGTTGTTTTACTGGCGTTCTGTATATCTCTCAAAAATCTTAATTAGAGACTGGTTAGCACAAACACCAAATGAACTTAAATTTGTTTCTATTTTTATTCATCTATCCAGATATAACAGGAACTTTATGCCGAGACTAATACTATTTTTTGCACAGCTGATTCTCTATAAAAATTTAAATATGTCAAGAAAGATATTCATATATACAAAGTTATCGAAAAAACAAAGTTGGTTCTCCATTTTCATAATGGATCTTTGCGTAAAAAATTTAAAAGTAATCGAAAAGCGAAATTCCAAATTCATAGTATTTTAGCATTATTTTAAATGGTTCACCTTTATCTACGACTTTCAGGCAATAAGCAATAAACCGGCAATCGACCATCATATTTTCATTTGATTGACAATTGTAATATCATAGATAAATATTAATTATTTAAACATTAATTGATAACGATCTATATACATATTAACTTACAAGTTGGGATGCTTTTTTTACGTTTTTTCCGTGTTTACTTGTTTATCTGTTTAATCTCTTTTCACTTCCTTTCTCCCGTTGCTTCTTCACTTTCCCTTTCATTTTTAATGTTTTTCTCGTTTTGCCTTATAAATGTTTTTGTCATAAAAAAGATTACCATGCAAGATAACCACTCAACTTGTACATTTAAGGTATGGTAAGTATACAGGAGGGAGACGGAGAATCATAATGAATGTATTTATGTATAACTAATAAATCCCTATAATTACAGACCACAAAATCAGTTGTTCATCGGCTGTCCAATAAGTATCATGTTACAAAATGATAAAGGATTATTTTATTGGAAATACAACCCGACTTAAGTAAAATAATCGTTGGATACCGGGGAACGCTAGGGAATCTCTAAAAATCACTATACTGAAGTTTATCATGTCCTTACTTGTGATTTATTTCCACAGGTGGTTCCAGGAGTTCTGATGAAAAGTTGTGACTAGAGGTGTTTAACTTTGTTAGACGTAAGAGCTACCCACCGAAGACAGTGGAATATCACATACGTTGAATCTGCACACTGTCGGGTGACGTTTTGGTGATCTCAAGGTTAAGTGTTTACTGAGAAACCTGAGGATCGTAATTTCAACCAACGGAGGGGTTGCGGAGGTCCACTGCTCAGGAATCCTATGCTAGAACAAAGTATTAAGTCAGTCTCTTCTGGTTTTGATAGTTTATCCAACATGAGTTGGTTCCTGATATACGACAATGACGAGAGTAAAATCCATACATAAAATGATGTATTTAGTTAAAACAGTTGTCGTACTTTGTAGGATGAATAAAATTTTAGTCTTCCATCACGTTTTTATCCTCTTCCTTATATCTGCGAGTCATAGTGTTTCTCTTGCTTTTAGTACCAGTTTTTGCAAGCAATACTGTATCATTGAAACACAATTTATTCCAGCAACTGATTACACAAAAATAAAAACTAAACGTCAATGATCACGTAACGGTCGTTTTGCCCAAGTATGCAATTCTTCAACAGCATGGATGCATTATCTTACCAAAGTCCGAAACATTCAAGCCCTATATCCATCTAGTTACTTCGAGACCACCTAGAAAGAATTTAATATTTTACACTTTCAGTTTCAATCAATCGGCGATATTTCCGAAGTACGATCTATCCTCGTTCTGGTAATCTTATTTCCGTAAGTTGACTGAAGTAAAACGTGCAAATGTTGGGTATCAGCTCATTTTCCCAAAAGTTCAACACTTTCCGCTCCTGAAGAGCCCCACACTAGGACGAAACAGATGTCAAGTGCTTACTAGTTTTCAGGGGTTGTTTGACTATTGTTGAACCGTAATGTAAACTTTAAAATATTGTTTCAATCAAACTGTTCTCAGACTATTCTGACATTGGGGTATTTGAGAAAATTATTCTCAAAAAGTCTTCACAAAACTACAACAGAAAAATTTCAGTTTCCTTATCATCATATTTATACCAATGATTTAAAGAAAAATCAGGTTTTAAGTGAATCAAAACAGCAGAATATATTTGAATGCGTCGGAACACCTACTGAAAAAAGTGATAAATAAGCGACCTGCTTCAACAAATCATGTTTCGATTTTTAGTGTTACCTAAGTGATATTAACTAGAAAACAAAATTCAGCTGTTTTCTGTTTAATAATTAATTACCTGGTAATATTAAATAGTTTGTTTTCCGACCCTTGGTATTAACAAAATTCCATCAGCTTATGAAACTGGGTCTAATTTGGTGAGTAATCACCGTACGTTAGTTGAACAATGTCACACAAGTCTAGAATGACGTAGTTGTAAAGACTTTGTACCTAAATGACAAAGTTTTGAATCCTAAGAAGAATTTAAGTTTCTTTGAGCATTCCAAAAAGTTTTGAATGTCATTCAGTGTCTGTAGAATCGTAACCAAATCGACGTAGATAATATCTTTCACTTATACCCGATTTGTTATATAAATATAGAATCTACGTTAGAAATATTTAGTCTAATTCGAATAATTTAATTCAATATTTTTAAATAACTATAGTCTTTTGTTGCAGTGATCTGAAATCACCGTTTATATTTATCAAGTTAGCCACTATACGATAAAAATAAATTCACTATGTTCTTATAAAGCAAATTATTGGAAAATTAAATCTACATTCATTTATTTCAAACCTGCCTACTAATAATTTCATTAGGTAAATTCAGAGTTCAATTGCATTAGTAATTATTCCCGTTCAACTTACTAATATTAATATAGGCTTAATCTGATAACTTGCACTTAAATCAAAAAGATAAAATAAAGTCTCGAAATAAAGATCTTTTTAAATTTTAGAAGCAATTACTTGGAATTATGTCAAAAACATAATTCCATTATGAATTGATTTTATATAAACTACTATAAAATTAGATAAATTTTTTATTATTATTAGGAGTTAGACTTCAAATCTACTCAGCTGTATAAATAAAGCTACTTCCCGATAATATTCCAGGGAAGTGGTTTCACATCAAATACCAAAGAGAGTAGGAATTCTTACTTACTGATTGTCAGCTTAGTGACATGGTAATAGTAATATTAATAACAATATATATATTTACATGCTTGGATAACGATAAACCTTCTATGTAATCATATGATGTACATCTTTCTATTAGGCTACATATCAGAACAACATAACTTACTTGAACTTAATTGTTAGTTATCTGACATAAATAAGTGAATTATTCGAAGTGATCTTGAACATGTTAATTTGATAATACTTCATTTCCTCTTAGTTAAAATAAGCTTTGAAATGTATATTTTAAAAAATTTCCTTTATCATTGAATGTATTTGTGCATAAGTATTCATAGATATCCAATCTGAATCAAAGTTCACAGTTTTACATATATTATTGACTTACTTATTGATTATTTCAAATTTAAAAATGAGTCGATATATATACCAACATTGAAATATCCCATATTTTGTTAGAATAATTTTAAAGAATACAAATCAACTTGATTTTTTTAAAATGCTTTTGAAAATTATTATTTTAATTTATGGATTGATTATTATACTAATTTATCGAGAAGGAAATACTTTGAATTATTTATCACAGGAATGTGGCAGTAAATCAGAATGGGGCCCATGGCGTTGTCCTGGTATAGGAACAAAATGTACTGCTAACATTGCAAGACGTTATAAATGCATCGGTAGAAATTGTACAAGTGATAGTCTATGTGCTAAACTTGAAAATCATACTGTAAGTAATAAATGTTGGTTATATATATATATTGTATTCGAGGATCTTAATTTTTCCTTTGTGTATGTTGAGGCCTATTGATACAGAGGCTGCTGCTAAACTAGTTGTCTTCATCTGCACTTGTTTGTGTGTATGGGATAGAAGGGCCAGGTCATCTACGAAGTAGAAATCTTCTGATTGATTCCGAGCTGTCCATTGTATTCCGTGCTTCCTTTCCGATACCGAGGTCTTCATAATCCGGTCAATCACCAGATGAAAGAGATAGGGGAAGAGTAAGCAGCCTCGTCTGAATCCGGTTCTCACTTGGAATGCATCTGTCAGCTATCCTCCATGCACCACTTTGCACTGTATTCCGTCGTATGAATTCCGGATGATGTTGACTACCGTTTCAGGTACACCATAGTGTCGAGGAAGTTTCCATAATGTTCTCCTGTCCACACTATCAAATGCTTTCTCGTAGTCAATGAAGTTGATATATAGTGACGAGTTTCACTCAACTGATTGTTCAACGATGATCCGTAGTGTCGCGATTTGCTCTGTGCAAGACCGATCCTTACGGGATCCGGTCTGTTGATCTCGAAGTTGGATGTTTGCTGAATCCTCCATCCAGTTCAGCAGCACTCTGTTGAAAACCGTTCCCGGTACTGACAGTAGTGTGATTCCTCTGTAGTTCTCACATTTCCTCAGATCTTCCTTCTTTGTTATGTTGATGAGATGCCCTGCATTCCAGTTTGTCAGTGGCACTTGTTCTTCCTCCCAAATCTTCCCGAATAGAACATGGAGCATGTTTGCAGTTACTTCCATATCTGACTTTAGACCTTCGGCTAGTATATTATCAGGTTGTGCTGCTTTCTCACTCTTCACTTGTCTAATGGCCATCCCGGTTTCTTCGATAGTTGATGGAGTGAAATCTATAAGCATGTCTGTGTGTGCTGCTTTGATGTCAGGCGAGTTCATTGGAGCTAGCCTGTTCAAGAGTTCCTGAAAGTGTTTTACCCATCTAATCCTTTGTTTCGAATCTCGGTGATTGTCTTACCTTCTTTGTCCTTGACCGGTCTCTCGGGTTTACCATATTACTCTGTCAGTTTCTTCGTTGTGTCATATAGCTGTTTCATAGTTCCTTCTCTTACAGCTTTCTCCACTGTCGTTGCTAGGTCTCCCACATATTTCTGCTTGTCGGCTCTGATGCTCCTCTTCACCTGCTTGTTTGCTTCAGTGTATTCAACTTGTGTCTTGAATCTCTCTGCTCTTGTCCTGCTGCTGTTAGATGCTGTCTTCTTGTTCTTTCATTGTTGAATCTTGTCCAAGCGTTCGATGCGTCGAAGTTCGTGCTTCTTTGATCTCTCTCTCTGATAGTCCTCCATCATAGTTTCTTCTTTCAGTAGATCCTGCAACGTTTGGAACCTGTTGTTGCGAGTTGTCTTGAATTGGTTGAATTTGTTAGTATCTCGAAAGAAGGCTATATTGAACGTTTGTACTGTTTCTTCTCCAGTTGTCCAGTGTTTCTTTACATTCAGTTTCATCTTGCCCACAACCAGGTGGTGATCTGAAGCTAAGTCAGCTCCTCTCCTGGTTCCCACGTCTTCCATTGTCCTTCTGAATTTTTTATTGACACAAATATGATCTATCTGGTTCTCCGTGGTGTGATCAGGTAAGACTCACGTAGCCTTGTGTATGCGTTTGTGTGGGAATATTGTGCCGCCTATAACCATTTAGTTGAATGCACATGGATTTTCAAATCTCTCCCCATTTTCGTTTCTCTCTCCCAGTCCATGTCGTCCCATGATACATTCATAAACGTTGTTGTCCATTCCAACTTTACTGTTTAGGTCTCCCATCGGAATTTTCAGGTCCTTTCCTGTGCACTTCACTATGATCGATTACAGCCTCTCGTGAAATTGATCTTTATCGTCTTCAATGCTATCGTTGGTGGGTGCATAACATTGGATAACATTCATCGTGATTCCTTCCTTTTTTCTTCTGAATGATGTTTTGATGATCCTGGATCCATGATATTCTCTTCCTATAAATGCTTCACGTGCTTCTTTGTATAACATTAGGGCAACTCCCTGAGTGTGTGGAGCATTGTTCTCTTCGTGACCGGAGTACATCAGCATCTCTCCTGTACCTAACCTTTACTGTCCAGCTTGGGTCCAATGGGTTTCGTTTACTGATTCCGAGAACCGCCAACTTTTACCTCCCTATTTCTACAGCTATTTGAATGGTCATCCCGGTCTCCCACATTGTTTGGACGTTCCGTGCACCTATATCTGTTGCTGTTGTGATTGTTAGAAGGGGAATCGGCCTCGTGAATTCCGAATAATTTCGGCTTTCATCATGAGATGTTACAATCCTTCCTTTAACTCCCAGGATAGAGTTTCAGTGGTTTAATTTATTTAGTCTGGTTAGCGTCTTTTAGAAAGGTTGTTTTCTACAGGGTGAGGTTGTCGAGTCCACGACCAGCTCTCCTCCTTTGTGTGGGCTTGGGACCGGCAGTAGACCTAAAAGAGCTATGGGTGGAGTTTAAGATTTATCCAAGACGTTCTCTAATAAAAGATATTTAGGGAATTAATACACATGATACACCTAATCGGATCCTATTTTTAGCATTTCATTCACTTAATCCAGATTTAGAGAGATAAGGATATTTTATCAGACACTTTTAAATAAATTACTGCTCAGTAACTTTATGGTAAGTATCGAAATAAGTGTTTACAATATTCATTATATATATATATATATATATATATATATATATATATATATATATATATATATATATATATATATATATATATATAAGAATTCTCTTTTTTATTGACAATCAACACGTAGTCTAGCATAAATGTAAGTTGTCACATGTTGATATACCACATCAGTTCAGAGATGTGAAATTAACATATGGAGTAGAAAAGGAATCGTAATAGTTATATTACTATTGATAGTGAGAAAAATTTGACATTGGAGTAAATGATTCGAAATGACGGAATAGAAAAGTTTGTGTGAAGTACTCAGACAATAAGTTGTCACTTGATTGAAACCGAATAACTGGCATTAATAATACGAACTGATAATCGACGGATATAAATGCAACCCAACCGGTTCTCGTACTCAAGATCCCTAGGTCCTACGGTGCGAGCTTAACCTTCAGACTGCTGAACTGGAATCTAGTGGTGTACATGTTCAACTACAATCAATTCGCGCTACTGAAAAACCATCCTTCATTGTCTTCGATGGACAAGTGCCTCACATTCAATATGGTGGAAGTGCACCAGTCACGGTTTTTCACTATTCTTTTAAGAATTTCTCCTCAGAATTATTCGCTAGTGAGAACATGATTACTAGTAGTATATGGGGTTTTTGAAGACTATTTAGTGTAAACACTACATAACAGACTGGCTAGACAAATATACATGTATTCAGTAGTTGAATTCTAAATTCATATCATGATGTAGTATTTGTATCAACCATTAAATGCTTCGTATGTATTTGGTCTTTTCTACCATATCCAATAACATACAATACAATGTGTCTTTACAGCCTTCTCCTATTTTGATGTCCATGTTGATTTATAACTACTGAAGTACATTTTGTATGTATTTATTAAAAGTTGTAAGAATTACTAGTGTAATTTCACTCAATGATAAATTGTTTCAGTAATCCCCTTAATATAGTTGCTTTTACACCTACCAATATATTAACAGTACACTTTTTCGTATTATTATTAATCAAGCAATCAGATTCCTGCGTAAAAGTTCTTCAACGTGGTGAATGTGAACCTTGGTGGACGAATTGGTCATCGTGGTCTAAATGTACAACAACTTGTGGATTCCATGAAAAACATCGTTCCCGGTTTTGTACAGGAGCTTTTAATTATAATAGTTATAAACTTAAGGTAAAAGATTCAATTTTAAAATCTTGTGCATCTATCGAAAGAATACACGAAGTTGAAAAAGTCTCTTGTCCTGTAAGTCGCCTATGTTCAGCTATTAATGGTGGTTGGAGTCAATGGAGTGAATTCACTGAATGTTCTGTTACATGTGGCATAGGAAAACGTGTTCGACGACGTCACTGTGATCATCCTAGACCACAAGAAGGTGGATTATACTGCATGGGAACTGACCACCAAGAGGTAATTAATCATTTTTCTCAATTATGTCAATTTCATTTTAAATGAACTAACTGTTGTCAATTTTGTAAGTGATATAGTATAAACTATATGATCAGGAGAGGCTATTGTCTACAAAATTTAATGTTGTTACTATAATTAAATGTACTGACAAATTTAATATTCTAAAATTCTGTTATAGTATTTTGCAAATCAATATCATGTTAATTTTAACAACATTGATCCACACGTAGAACAAAATATTAACTGAAGATATCTTTTGTTGCAGACTGACATTAGATATCAGACTACTGAGAAGGATCACTAGGGAACTTTTTACATTAGATTAAGACCCCACATGAGAATCCATTCACTATCCTACACAGAATCCAACTCAGGATAAGTGTAGCTCATGTAAGGAGTCTGTTAGTGTTAGGCCAATGGTCAAAATCCAACGGTTCACTCTTTTAACGCCACCCATTTCATACCATCAGAGTGCTTGGTACCTGTGTGGTTGCGCCACAGGATTGAGCTGTACTATCCAGATTATAGCGCCAAAGCCTATATGGTATCTGGTTTTCCTGTAAAGCGAGATTTGGCTGTACTGCTCGGGTTATAAAGTTTAAGCCTGAGCGGTGTCTGTCTCTCTTGCGGAACGGAATTGAGCTGTGCTGTTTGGGTTGTCACGTGAAAGTCCGGATAGTGTCCGTTTCTTTTGGAAAATAATGTAAAATTACCCTGGCCCACAAGCGTAACTAACTGTGAACTTCGCTCCATAGAGTAAAAGTTATCAAATGTCATTGAAGTTTGTTTGTTTTTTCAAAAAAACCAGTTATATAAGGAACAAAATGAATAGGATTTACTTCCATAAAATCTTAAATAGAATATTGGTTTATTCAACTGACTGTATACTTTCTAACTGTGGTAAGAATTAAATTACTTTATTTCTTTAAATTTAACTGTTATCCGATTCTATCTTTAATGATTTTCCATGTATATCTAATATTTCATTCAAGCTCTTTGCGAGTAAACTAAACTGTCCACGTAGAAAGTGTTAAGTGATGGATAACGTTAAACGTTCAGTGTATCTAACTTAATGTAATTAAAATAGTGTTTGTTGAATCAACTAACAATTGCTAGAAAAATAAACAACTTAGAACAATTACTCTTTTCGATAAATTTGGATAACATAATATGAAGACAAAGATTACTAAAGATCTGAAAATCTGCATCCTCTTAAATAAATAATTTAGATATTCTCCAAACACACAATACATATTCATAACAATCTAGTCTCCATGACGTCATTCACTTCAAGTTCACAGATCATGAAGTATTTCATATATATTTCGATCTAATTCAGCTGTGAGCTTTCTTTTTTCCTTTTCAAATGCAACGTCAACATTGCATACTACTTATTTCCATGACAGCATTACTAAAATTTTTGAAAAGAGCCAGAACAAAGATTCTTGCTCTTTTCAAAATGATAATGGGAACTATGTGTATGAAATTACTAAAATTATCTGTGAATTAATGCAGATGGATGCAACTGACTCATCTAGTTCGAAGAGCGCAATGCTACTTAAACTAACTAAACATAACATTACTCCTGGTATCTATACTGGTTTACATACTTTTTATTCTAGTGATAACAACCCATCATTTTTCAATATTATTTGCTTTTACTAAGATACCTTACTGATATGAACCTCTCAATCCTTTACTTTTAATATCTATAGGTGCATCGTGATGATTGAAAATTTTCAAGGCATGTTTTGTATTAAGCTCATTAGTTTACAACTGTAAAAAAGCATAAGAAAATTACTTAAGTTTTACTATGCTTTCCGTGTATTAAATTGAGTTCTTTTGAAATTTTTTCATCAGAATTTTCCGTTTTAGTATAGAAATTTTTATAAACAGGTATTCTGTGAAGGTTATTTACCGTGCCCACGAAAAGGACAGTGGTGCTCTTGGTCACCAATCATTCAACATTGCACACGTAATTGTGGACCACGTGGGATGGGATTACGATTACGCCAGTGTGCTTGCCCGAAGCCGTCGCAAGGTGGTGAAGACTGTGAAATACCACCAGAAACAGCAGAAATGGCAGTTAATCTATTGGTTAATAACAGTACTGACGCTCCAACGGGATCTGCACTTGAAGCAATACTTAAAGGTGAAGGATTATGGGAACCATGCAACCGTCATCACTGTTCATATTTAAAAACATTAAATACTGAAGAAGATTTATTATTGTTGGAGGATTTAAATCTTCAAAGAGCAGAAGATGCCTGGACATCATCAGGTGGTCTACCACAGAGAATTCATGGTCCCTTAAAACTTTTCTGTCCATCATCACGTAATTCTCGTAAGAAAATATTCGATAAATCTGAACGCTTTCCAAAATCCAAGTTTTACTGGACTCGTTCAATTCCCACTTCTTCAAAAGAACCCTATTATATTCCGGGAATACCAATAGTGAATTCAAATCTATTTATCGTTGAAAATGATCACTTGACTATTCATAGTTTAGACCCATCGACTATGGGAATTTATCGATTTGGTTACGAGTATGAACCTGGCTATTTTGAAACAGTTTGCTTTTTTCCTGTTTATATTCATCAATGGCAACAAGTATGTAGTTATAATGCGTCCAATTTGAAGCTCGAAAGTAACTGAATTCAAAGTAATATATTTTTATCAGTATAAGGGACTTGTGGAGATAGTAGTATTTCCATGGTTGAAATCAGGAGTCGATCTAATCTAAACCATCACTAAGAAACTGTGGGCACCGGACGTCCCTTACATCCTAGTATTGGACTCTTCAGCGATGCACATCCATTATCCTATACGCAAGACTCAGACCCAGGGCGATTGGTCTCACACACAATCACTGAGTCGGCCTCCAACTGCGTTGAAGTCTAACTTTAATCAACTGTGGATGCGCACTGCTGAAAAGTTCCGTACTAGAAAAAAGCGGCCGTCCAGTACTTCCAGATTTTCAATGGTGGTCTAGCTTAGATCGACTTATAATATATTTTCATTTCAAACAATTCATAAGTGAATCGTATTTTTTAAAGTAACAATGAATTTGGAGCTTAGATCTGATTAGCAATAACATGTTGATGGAAAAAATAACGCAATTTCATAAGAGAAAGTAATCTAACAACAACTTGACTCATAATAAAGATGAACCATATGTTAAATCATTAAAAAAACTTTCAAAACGTTCATTTTATTAGGGAATATTTCAGACAACTCGTCTATCTGATTACAATTACCCTGTGTAATTGATTAAATACGGAGTTAATTAACACTAGTCGAATATCATTTGAAATAAATTATTAGCACAGCGAAGTGACCGAAGGATTAATAATCATTACGTTCAATATATTTTGATCAGCTCTGGAATCCAGGACTCGCTGTTCGTACTATTTAAAAGAGGGTTTCCTATTTTTTAAAACTAAATATACTACTTTATTTAAAAATAAATAGAACAACACTTTTTGTAAAATTATGTGTTTAGGTATTATCTCATGGAGAAACATTTGACTTAGTTTGTAATTCATTGGGATTATGGCCTATTATAAGTAAATCTACCACAACAAAATGGTTCATTTATTGGAATGTAACTTTATTGGAAAAAGAAGAGCAGAATGATATAAAAAACCATAAATTATGGTGGTATACAGAACTGAAAAATTCTCATATCGATAAACATGAAGGAAATAATTCATTTGACAATCAAACTGATAATCCATCAATTTTTGGAACACAATTCACATTATGGGATACAGAATATAAGAGACTGTATGATACTGTGAAAAAAATGACAGGATATTATGAATGTCATATATTCAATCAACTTAATTCCACATATAACCGAACATTTATCACGCAATCAATTCATCTTATAATAAAACCACCTCCAAATATATGGACCTTAGTAAGTGATAAAATTTTATTTTCATGATAAGAGATTTTTATACACTTGAATAGTATATTTGTTTTATTAACGTCTTTACCAAGAAATATCACCATATTGACGTCTAAGCGAAGAGTTCCACCTTATCCTTATAGCTTCAAAATAAGAATGTTAACCAATCTCTTACTGAACCATAATACTTACTAGATTACTCGGTCTTAAATTTGTTGTTAATCGAAAAGACTAGTATTTTTCTGTAACTGATATTTAATCAGTATTTATGCATCCATTCAAAGTTCATCTGTTGACAGAAACTCATTGTTTTAGTTCGTTGATTGTGAAGTTTGATTTGACTCTGAGGTAGTTTTCACCTCATGTTGACTTCACATTCTGGCGTTCATTGGGATCATACATTCTTCCATAGAATTTGACCGAATAGAGTTCGTCTTCCATGATGGATATGAAAGAGGATCCTTTAATGAGCTATCATTCCAAAGAGCGCTTGTATCGATGATATATTGCTTGGTATAGACATTTACTGAATGGTTCAAGCGTTTCCTGGTGAGATAAGGGCTTATATTTACCAGAGATGAATTCAAAGTATTTTTGACTGCAGATTAAGTCGACGCTTCTCCGAGAATAGCTAACACCCATATTATTCGATACACTTAAGCACCTCTGAAATAATCGCTCTTAGTTTACTTTCTGAACTTCGCGTTATTATAAAATCGTCCTGGTATGTCGAAACTTCAGCACTCCCAGATATGATAGAGTTCTTAGTCTGTTGATGACGAGGTACAGGTTGCCACGGACTGATCTAATGTCGTTTCCTATAGCCTATTTTTGTCAGATTTCATCAAATTAATCGATTACAGAGATGTCAACTTCTAATCTAACAGATTAAATGTATTGGAGAACTGTCTCTACAGTTAGGTAACTTCGGATGTTTACGGCTAAAAGCTATCTCATAAGGAATAAACAATTTAACTCTGAGTATTAATGTTGATGAAAAAAATAACTAGACATAATAATGAGAATCATTATGAACACAAAGTAACCGACAAAAATGATATGGATTATCCTAGATATAGTTTTTACTATTATATGATATACATTTAATACTTTTAAACAGATAGATGATTCAATTCCCTCGGAATCTCAAGATTGAATAAAATGTTCAGCAAATAAGGAAATCATAAAACAGAGGCGTAGAAGCCTACACTAACAAGCATCTTTATACTTCCAGCTTTTCATAACATAAACAAGATCGCTAAATAATCACAAAAATTAAATCCATATGACTCCTCTTACAAATCTGAGCCAAGGTAAAAATAAAAAAGATAATAGATGAATTTCGTTAAGTTACGTTTTTAACAGAACGGCGGGACTATAATTTATGGACGAACCAACCAGATTTAGGATAACAGGATTTTGGCACGAAATTCATTCATCCGCTTGTTTAAATAGTGTTTTGGCATTTTAGCTGATGTCAGTTCGTGATGAAAACCCTAAATCTAATTTCTAACCCTAACCATCAACTGAAAATTACTATCTTAATTCCTCACATTGGATTACAACCCTCATTTAGCCTCAGTAAGTAGGTAAACATTCTCAAGGTCACATTGCCGTAACTCAAAGGTCATCAATAAATTATAGTCTCACTGAAACATTCATCATAAAACACTAGAGAGTGAGATAAAGACATTATTTGTAAGTTTTTATTTAAAGGTATAAAAATTAAAATACAATAAAGTGTACAAATCGAAAAGTAATTACGTGAATATCAAAGGTTATTAGGCAATATTTGAAATTTAGATCTTATCAGTGAGCGAATAAACCTACCCATCAAGGTTACCATTACAAATTTGTAATTACTGTGGATCTTTTTAGAAAAAGCCGGCTCATTTATTAAGTACAGGATTATGCAAATCAGCTTCAAAATGTTTGTGAATGAAAGCTAGTTCGAATTGAAGTAGGGCGAAGTCAAGAAAATTGAGACCTACTGACTGAAGATCGTGTTTTAACCACTCTTCTATCCGACACCTGATGTTGACTCAGTGGCATTAATTTATGACTACATTACTATAGTATCAATATTACCATAATCCAAAATTACGGAGTTAATGGAGTAAAATGTAACAAATTAACTGGTAAACAACAATGTTTTTTTCATTTCTAATGGAAATACATTGGATCAAAAATTAACATACAACTGATCCCTATATTCCATAATGATCAAACACTTCATCAAATCCTTCTTAATCATTTCATCAGTAAGACTAATATCATTATTCTACTTTAGAAAAGATTTTAAAACTCAAATGACATTATACAATATAGACAGAGGAAAAACACATTTCAATGTTTATTATTAGTTTTCTAATATTTGTTTTCTATAAGGTGAAAGGCTGGTGTTTACAGCATCAAATAAATTTAATAATATTATTTTTGATAAGTATAATAACAAGTCTTTCATATGCAACTTATAAATGGACAATAGCAAAGAAATTATCAAAACTAGAAATTCAAATGAATGAAACAAGAAAGCATAGACAAAGTACCAATTTCGATGACATTTACATTATCAACTAGTTTCGACTATTTGGTAACAAACATGCTTTAATGCAATCGAAATGAATTCAGTTTGACTGAGTTTGTTTGAAAGTAACAGTTCAAGAGCAATTATACTGTATAAATAACGTAACAACAGGAGAGCTAAATAAACTATTATCATGAAAGGTAATATTAAAATGTAGAAATGCGTTAATACATTAATTGCTTATATAGAAAATGTAATTTTATTTACAAAAATATGCTTGAAAATAAAAATTATTCGGTTATGTAACATTTGTTCTTATTTTACTCATTACTTACTGAGTTAGACTATAAAATTATTAACATAGTACCTATAAATAGTTTATTGAATGCTTCACTATAAATCTTCATTTTGATTTAAATAAGATTATATATGATTCTCAAGAAGACAAGCCGTTTCAACTAATCAAAACAAATATGAAATAACTTATTTTAAACTCTTGTGTATTATGAGGATATTCACCTGAGGTTATGAGTGTTTTTAGTTGTTTTACGCCCTTAAAAATAGAAAGTTTTTTTTATTGACAAGCTTTAATTGTCGTTTTGGACATTATCAAGTTTACATTGCTATATCAGATAACAATGTTATTTACTAGTGAAAATAAATTATGCTATGAAAACATGAAAAGTCATTTATTAGGAACAAAGTTTCAACGACAATTACGTAAATGAAACAATGAATTTTATTACTAGTACAGGTAAACCATGACAATGAAATAACAATATAAAACAGACAGAGAAAGTTATTCTAACAAAGAACCATCGAGTGAGAAACTGAATCTCTAAAAAAACATAAAAAGCTCTGTTCAACTGGTAGCATGAGCTCGAAACACTACTTGCACCTTCATGAAGTAAGTAGACCACTGATTTTGAATCCCAACAGTCCACATCTCTAAGGTTAACTCTATTATTTAGCAGTAATTATCACACCATCAAAGTACGTTCTGAAACTTCTCAAAACTGAATATCGACTTTGATTCATTATTAAGTAAACATCACTGAGTGACATATGAAAAGTATTTATGAACCGAAAAATTAATGTTCTATTCCAGAACACTTATTGCCACAATCGAACAACTAGACAGAACGAGTATACTAAACTCATACAGAACAAAAATATGTCGAATTAAGTTAATACATTTTAAAAATCGGTATAAACGGGATGCCATGAAAACCGACAACAGAAATATGATTCACGAGTAGAAAGTAATAAAATATACAAAACATTACAGAAACAAACCACTTTAGATCTTATAGTCAATAATTTTATTATCCCTATGATTCTCACCTAAAAAGTTCATAGCTCTCCCCTTCTCTACAAATAGTTAGTCAATTTACGAACAAATATTGATAACCGCAGAGTTTACAAACGAGACACACTATTGAAGGTAGTTGATTACGCCCCTAGTCAAAGTTTAAGCCTTTAGATCCATGTTTCACCCAAATATATACAGACTCATGGATTTGAGCGCACGTAATTCGAATTGCTAACCAAAGCTTTCTAGACATATAATAGTTTTCTCACTCTTACTGGCAGTTGGTCAAACTTATAAGTAGTGTGTGTATCGGTAGCAGGATCGAACATGATGGGCTGTAACAAAACAATATGATTTCTTCTCACTATTTTTAATTTATATTTGAAAACTACATCAGAAACTGAATAAGAGCATAAATAGTATTATTATTATTATTAGATTATATACAACAAAACTCTTTACAATATTTCAATGTACAATAATTAGATTACAAAAATCTTCAAATATTTGCTCCAATTGAATCACTTGGTGAAATAAGACTAGATTTATGAAGAAGCTTTTGATTAGTAGTAGTACTAATACTAAGAGTACTACTACTAGGAGATTTACTCAACTGATTGACATTACTAACATTAGGAGTCCAATAAAGACATGTAGAATCAATACAACGATCAGTAGCAGGCGGTTTAATTGTACTCAAAAGAGCGTCTACATCAGGCTAAAGAAATTATAAACAAAATAAGTATAAGATAAAATATAAGACTAATTGTAACGGATTACTAACAGGATAAATGAAGTTTAATTAATAATCAGCAAATATAAATTTGGAATGTATGAATTTGTATTACAGTTTAATGATTAAAACAATCAACTTTTAGCTATTAAATCTCAGGTGCAAACTCCGCTCAAACTACTTCCGTTCAGGCATTCGAGTAGTGTCATTAGTTTTTTTAATACTTAAGTGGCTGGTGGGTGAGTTATTTTAACGCACTTTCTTCCCATTTATGAGAACCACTAGAAATCATGTTATAGCACAAGCGAATTTGTTTTATTCTAGTCAGTGACCATGACAATTTTTTAAGTACGAACCCAAAAAGAATAGGACCTACAATCTTTAATTCTGTTAGAAAGTATGTAACTATTCACACACTAAGTTGGAAATCCAGAAATAGTGTTTCTTTTATTTTGAATAGGAATGCGTATAGTGCAATCACATGTTACCTGTAAAATATTATCAGAGATGATGCCAACAGTCAAGAGAGTAAGGAAGTTCTAATTTTAAAAATCCTCATTCCCTATTGTAAAAACTGGATAGGAATGAAAACTACTCACAATAAATAAAAAATCTATAGACCACACAATCCACATTTTACAAGAATAATGAATTCGCGTGGAATTTTTATCTATGGATGTTGAAATCTAAGATATCATAAACGCAATAACCAAGGAAACCTAAGATAAAACTAGATGAAAATAGGAGAGGGTTGATGAGAGTATCTTGTCATAGTTATCTGACAGATATAAGTAGTATGTAGCAGTGATCGGAAGTGCAATACCTGTCAGCAGAAGATTGGATTGAGGAGAACAGGAGAGGAAACAAAGAGCAATTGTAGTAACAACAGAATTGAAATAATCACGAAGTATATAAAGGACAACCGAAGGAAGATGCGCAAATAATATATTTAATGTATGGTTTCCATATTTTAAGGAGGCATTGTGTAATTTTACATAAGACAATAGATTGGTTATCAGAAGGGGTTTTATGGAGATTTTAGTAATTTCAATAGTTGAGATCATGAGTCAATTGAAGCTAGACCACCATGGAAAACCTGGAAGCACTGGAAAGCCGTTTCGTTCTATTGTGGGACTCCTCAACAGCGCACATCCACGACCCCACCTCGTGGGACGAAACGGACGTTCAGTGCTTCCAGGTTTTCCATCGTAGTCTAGCTTCAATTGATTCATGATCTCAACTATTGAGATTGGTTGTCCCCAACTGTTTTATCGTTCACTACATTATCACTTTACCTCTACAATGGCAGAAAAGGATTAATTTTAGTTACCGTTTTAAACCGTCTAAGTATTTGTATTGCTGACTTTATGTGATATAGGATAAAAGTTATTCATCTTTAAATTTCGCACAAAAACCAAGAAGTTATTCTCTCGATTCTGATTAGCTTGTTGTCTCTATATCCATATAAGTAGTGATAAATTAGATAGAAATATTAGGTCTAAGTACAATTATGTTTTTATTTCAAGAAACAAATGAAAGACACTAACTACTACCGAGTCTAGATTACCTGGTTGAGGTCTGTGCGATTATCGTGACTAGTGGTTATTGTTGATATTGTTGAAAACCGTTCGCAATGACGCAGATGAACTTACTTTTTCCCCTCTCTTAGATCCCAAGTTTTTAAATTGCTTGTAATTTTCGTTAATCTTACAAATTTATATCCTCTCGAACGGTATCCGCGATACTTAATCATTTTCATTACTATCAATACTGTTAACACTTTTAATACTCTGGGATTTGCACTGACAATTTTATCTCTCTGTACTAATGAGGTATGGCAAGTTAAACCGATGTACACATGCGCCAGATTCTATGTTGCGTTTGACTGACTAGCTGACTGCTACTATTACTAGCTTTTCATCATTAAAAAATACAATATGCCAAGAACGAAAACAGTGAAAAATTCACTTACTTTATTATTGATTATGTAATATTGTGTCCGATAGCAAACAAGCATCTTCATATCTAATAAAGTGCTTACAATATCAGGAACTGCTATTCCTAATTCTTGACTCATAGCTGAAAAAGGTGGGTTCATCGTCGTCATAATAATAATAACAATAGTAGTAATAATAATAGCTATAGTAATAATAATAATTTATCTGAATAAAAGCTTTTCAACAAAAACAAATTATAGGTTAGTTGAAGGGATTTCGTGAAAATTGGTATAGTTTATAGGTTTTATTCACCACAGACTAATCTCATAGACCCGAAGTTTCTAAGGTTTGATCCCTAGAAGGGTTGCTGGTGCGCAATGCTCAGTCTCATACTAAGGTGAAAAATGTTACCCTTACTGAGATCAATCTGTGATTAATACAACTTACGAAGTATGATTTATTTCAAATTAAAAATGTACTATTTATATGATATTTTTACTTAGCCGATTTATTTACACTATGAATAAGGTGTGTATAGAACCTTTCAGTGGGGAATTGCCGATGATCAATAAGTGTAACAATAAGTCTACTTTGATTGTCAGTTAATGAAAACACTGTGAAATAATATTGTGTTGTATTTCTTAGTCTAAAAGATAAAAGACTAATGTACAATTCCATTTCTGCTACATTTCCACGAACCTGTTCTGTTCTACTTATATTCCTAGCATGTACGTTTGCTTGCTCATGGCTTTTTAAGTATATTTTCATTTATCCAATTATACTACATTCTAAATCAATTATTTTTAGAAGAATGAACACTTGTTTCCACTTGAAGTTACCGCACATATCTCCATATTAATTGATAGTCAGATTAATGCAACTGTAGATCTCTTTAAAAATGAATTTCAGGACATTATATAAAGTTAGACTAGCTTTGTTAAAATCGAAGATAAGTAAACACAAATCAATGCAGAATTTCGCACAAAACTACCGCCGTCTGAATTTCAACTAAAACTTTTAATACCCCAACGAAATAAACCATCAAATCATGGAAAAAGGGAATGTCAATAACAATAATGATGAGCAGGTCCTCACATTTATAATCACGTTTCATTGTTGAAAATAAAAGAGTAAAAGGCCACATATATAATTAATTTGCATACTCTTCATCAAACAGTTACAAAATTTTGGTGACATTATGACGCGGCTACCATGTCGATTGGACTGGGATCCCAAACTAACGCTGAGTGATATTGCAAATAAATATCAAAGGCTAATTAATCTTCAGCGCGATACTAATATGGTTCAGTGTGGAGATTACGACTGCTCCGAAGTTCACATAGTCCAGCAACCATCCAACACTGCCAAACGCGAGCCTGTTATACCTAGCTCATCTTACCCAAGCTCAGTTCATTAAACGAAGACAAGTCCTCCGGCTCCCTCCTGGCACTGTGTTGTGTGACATTCGGTAAGAACCTGTCCGTTCAAGCAACATCGTTGCAGGAAATATAAACCCAACGGTCACAAAGATGGATTCTGTCAAAGTTGGAAATCAAACCAACTATCATATCAGTCCATAAACACTGGAAAGCCTGCTTCCAAAACCTGCACTAATTCGTTTAGCCTACTAGAATCCTATCAGAGCACAACTCCAGGTGAAAAAAACTTATTATCTTTAATAATAATGGGCATTTATTTAGATCCCAAATAGATAAAGCTTCAGACATTACCATTATCTCCCGTAAATTTGGGATCGAAATGGGCAGCCCGTGCATTCAGCTGACAAGATAAAAGGCTCGTACAGCATGTGGTAGTTATCTGCGTTTGTTCAGACGACTAGATTGTGACGTGTCTTCCCGAGAATCGGTGTTCACCAGGGTATGTTGCGTAACGCCAGTTACTTTAAATCTACTTAGTTTAAATTGGTTTGACCAGTTTCAGCAAGCTAAGGTCCCATTAAGTACCGTATGACATTTGGTGAGACAACCTCCGGAACCGGAAGCACATACAACGAAGTTGGAGATGCTGGACCCCCAGAAATCGCTTGATAAACATCCTATTTTTGTAATTTAATTTTAGAGATTTGAATCTATCGTTTTCGCGCCAAAAGCTCCCATTACTACCTTTAACTTGTGTTACCCGCCTGGAAGGACTTTAAATTTTATTGGTTCGTCTTCTTTTTCGGTACTTTATTTAGTGACGCTCTTCAAGGACATTTTTATATTGTATACATCATATAAGATTTGGGTGTTTGTTATTCGTTCTTCTGGGCTGGTTGTAGAATTATATATTTTTCCTGCTGACTCTGATCTTCATCTAGCTAACAGAGCTGGGATGGAGAAGAATAACTTAGCTTCGTCCCATTATTGCATTCCTGGTTTACGTTCCGTTCCTCGGTACCATTGTAATATCATAAAATTTCGTTTCTGATATTTTATACTAAAATTTGATCAGTCTTTGTTGGCATATGGACATTTTATGTTGATTGAACCTATATAGCCACAAGTTTATAAAAAATAAATGGAACGTAGTCAGCAGGAGAGTTCAGGATGCGTGTTTTGGTATATTTGGGACTCGTCAGTTAGATGTGGCTGTGTCCTAAGTTGTTGCTCACTCAGAGACTGATCAAATTTCAGTCAATATATCAACAGCGGGGTCATCCAAATAATTACAAATTAAGTTAAAATTCATACCCCTACAAGAATGAGAGAATATCTGGACTTAGTAGGTAGGCAAATAACGCGTTGAAGTTTCAAGTAAAAGGTACTGGGTTCGAGTCCCACAGTGAACATTACCCTGGGATACAGGTACGTCTGGCTAACGAGTCCTAAATAGGACCATCCTAGAGTCCTGGATTACACTACATGCCACATTTCATGTATTATACACAAAGTTATTTTACAGAATGTTTGGAGGTTGAAAGTAGTAGACAGGAAACTCTGGATCCTAGTTTAGTGTTAAGACTGATAAAAAACTTTGCATAGTCCTGAATATAACCCCTTTTTGACGCATTGTACATCTGTTTTACGCCATCAGGTTAGTTATGAGTCCATATATTAAGAAGTACGTGTAAGCACTACTCGTTTGATTTTCTAATATTCTAATCCAAAATTAAAAGACTTGATAGTTTACGTCGGCCACCAGATATAATCGATTTGTTGTTAGTGATGTAAACAATAGCATAACAAGTATAGTACTATCACACTTCATACAATTATCTAACCGTTAGTCCTGCAACTTTTAAAGACTATATCCAACCCATACGTAGAACGACAGATGAGATTTTCAAACAAAAAGACCAACTTTTCAAATAGTTAAACGGTGACATATTAATCGACTACTTTATTCAAAATAGATTTTTAAAAATTATTTGTAATGCAGTACCAAAACTGTCAACGTAATTTCCGTTTTAAAATTACTTTAATCGATAGAATGACTTCTGAGGTCATCTTAGATACATCTGATTGTTGCTTTGATCTCGAAATGAAACGTTGAAAGTCTAATAAAATATAGATTTTTTGAAAAAAATCGTAAATTATAGTCACTTACTTCGAATATTAATTGATTTAGCTGTGAATGACGATAAGTATTTTAAAATTTCAAAACGCCAATATCTTCTGTAAATAATGATGCCCAAATCTGATAATGGACGTTCTGGTGTACCAATACGTTGTTCTAGTCGACTTAAAATATAACCTTCGAAATAAGAAATAATTATTTCTTAGAAAAAAAATTAATTATACTTTTTAACTAGTATTAGGAATAATATGACGAGTAGATGAAAATCAAAGACAAATGCTTCAACATAAATTTTATCATTATTACTCGAGTCCTAAGTAAAAAAACTGACATAAACTGTTGCAAGATTATTCTTTAGAAAATAGTAGTTACAGAATACCCGACTGGAGCCATTAAAGTGACATGGTAATCAGATTAACTTACCTTGATGAACCGATGGAGCTATATTGGTTAGAGCACTTAGTTCTCTTAGGTCCATACTATGCCACACAAGTCAGAAAATGGTGAGACTAAAAGCAGCACCTCAAAGTCTGAAGGAAACGTCATACTGCGGACCCTACAAGTGCATGGCAACAATGAAGGGTTCCTTTCACACAACCTGCATTTTCAGCGATGCTGAATGGAAGAATGGGACTTCCATTGCCGGCTGTGATGTGTTATCTATAAAATAAGAAGCCGGTTATGACCGACCTTGAAATCGGCGGTTACGCCTTCAGTTGTTCAAGACCAATAGAAGTTTGACTAGAATATAACGAAATTTACATTTCAAGAGAATATAATCAAAATATAAAACCTTTATTAATATTATAAAGTAGTTCAAATAACATTTTCCATAAAAACTTAACGAACACATACTCATTTCGATTAGCATACGACCAAAACCACGACATTGATAAGGCGGTAAAATGAGAATACATGAAAGATTATTGTACACGGTATTGATGGAGTTGTCACATTGATCATCAGCTTTTTGCTAAATAAAAAGCAAAATAAAATGTATGACGATAGTTATTAATCACAATCCAAACACAAAGATGAAAAATTACCAGAAAGCTTCAAAACAATAACGGATAAGGATGTTAGAAAAATGTTCTAATACTGAAATTTATTAAGATTCTTCTAATGATCTCTTCACATTAATTAAATGGTAGTAAATTTGTCTGAATGACCAACTTAAATGCCTTTACTTGAAAGTCTTAAATCTAATATTGAGTAAACCTTAATTACTGACTTTCGAAGCAATTCCCTTTAGTGAATCCGCTTCTGTTGGTTACGCCGAAATTCCTACATTTTTTAGTTTAATTAAAGATAAACGATATGCCTCAAAAATATTAGATAATGCAAAGATAGGTGTCATTAAGTGAGCCATAGAAGTAAATACACTACATTCAATAAGAATACATCAGATTGTGATTCAAACATCTCTATGACGATTTCTACGAGAAATGCCCTGGTATGGCCGAGAGCGGGGTGGGTTTGCCCTCCCTCTAGAAATACTCTCATACGACCACGCGTATACAGCCTCTGCCAGGGAAGTCCTACTCACTACCTTCTCGTGGCGGGGGTGTTGTTTACGAAAATGAGAGGACGAAAAGCGAATATCCGGCACTTTAACCGAATCCCAAACCAAATCAATGGTGCATATGGGCTCCAGGATCCTGCGGGAACAAATGGCGTATGAACTAATTGTTGGTCATCGGCTAACTTCTAGGCTAGCTACCATTCCACCGAAAAGTATAGATGAGCATTGGCTGCAATTGCATTACGCCATGAAAATGGCGGGTACAGTCAGTTGTGGGTTTGCGAAAGGTCCCGCTTACAAGCACTGGGTTTCTGCAGGTTCCTTACAACTCATTGAAGCCTGTCGGTCTACTCCGGGTGACCGTGAGTTTGACCACAAACGAAGGATGTTACGTAATGAAATCGGCCAAAGCTTGCGTAAGGACCGAGAAGCCTGGTGGTCGGAGCGTGCTAATGAGCTGGAAGCAACAGCTGTATCTGATAATTACCGGAAGCTCTTCCAACTCATCCGAGCCACTGGCAGCAAGAAATCTGGTGTGAGCAAAAAATAAGTGAGGATGACGGAACGTCAATCACTAACATCCATCGACGTCTTGGACGATGGGCAGAATTCTTCGAAGGGCAGTTCAACTGGCCTGATGCTCCGGCAACATCGGTCAGACTGTCCTGCCCTCCATGGCCGGTGACGACTGATCCACCAAATGAGGCGGAAGTCCGCAAGGAACTCCAACTGTTGAAACGCTACAAATCACCTGGCCCAGATGACTTACCTCCGGCTCTTTTTAAAGATGGTGGTGACTTTCTGACTAAGTAACTGACGACGTTGTTTACAAAGGTTTGGGAACTAGAGAGTGTACCAACGTCATGGAATGAGTCGATAGTTGTCCCTATCTTTAAAAAGGGTTTACGTCGTTCCTGTAACAACTATCGGGGGATAAGTCTACTTCCGATTGAGTCCAAGCTATTAGCTACCACCATACTTCGTAGGTTGTTCAAAACCCGAGAAAGATTGACTCGCGAGAAGCAGGCTGGGTTTTTTTATTTATTTATTTATTTATTTATTTATTTATTTATTTATTTATTCATTTATTAATTTATTTATTAATTTATTAATTAATTAATTTATTTATTTATTCATTTATTAATTTATTTATTAATTTATTAATTTATTTATTTATATATTTATTTATTTATTTATTTATTTATATATTTATGTTTGTTTGTTTGTTTATTTGGACACATGAATATTGGTACAAGAGAGCGCCAATATATATGCGCCACACAAAACAATGAAAATTCGAGAGGAATACAAAGAAAGAAAGAAAAGATAAGGAGTGCAACAAAAAAAGAGAGAACAATAACGAAGAGATTGGTGTAAGGTAATGTGCTAGTAATCAGGGAACGCAAAGGTACAATCGGAAGAAAACTTTCAGGTAAGGAAGATACAACCACTTTTTACGAAGAAAGTGAAAGAAGGTTACAGCAGGATCGCCACTGGCTTCTATTCTGAGCCATATCTGATAACGTCTCTAGCCACTGTGTAGCACCATCTCTCAGACCCCAACCAGGGAGTCGTGAAGGACCAACACAAGCCATTCCTTTGCAGCTTTCTTTCATGCCACGACACCATGTCATATACTGACCACCTCTCCGCTCTTTCCAACCAGTCCCAGAGTCGGCAAATAATGCACGATGTGGAATTCTCTGGGACGACATTCGTAGAACATGTCCAAGCCACCGAAGTCGGTGTTTCAAGATGGTAACACCAATTGCATTATCGTCTCTGTGCCCGAACACACGATGCCGAACTTCTGCATTACTGAAATGGTGTTGCCACTGGATGTCAGCATTCCTTCGGAGACAACGATGATCGAACACAGAGAGTCGTCTAACATCCTCAACTCGGAGAGGCCAGGTTTCACAGGCATAGAGCAAAACTCCTCTCACCGACGCGTTGTAGATCCGACCTTTTACGGCCAGACTAACATCACGAAGGCGCCAAAGATGGCCCAGATTGGCATAAGCCGCTCTGGCTTTCACTATACGTGCATTGATCTCATCACTCACACCCCCACCAGCACTTATCATATCTTCCCCCTCCGCCAAATGTTAGAACACCGCCATACTTATCAAAGGCCAACAATCGTAGTGTTTCTTGACATCAAGGCTGCCTTCGATTCGTTGGACAGGACTGTTCTCTGAGATCGGCTATTGAAGATGGGTGTGTCTGAGAAGTTTACTAACATCCTAAAAGCCCTATATGCAAACACCTCAGGCAGAGTGAAGGCATACAACCACCTCTCTCCATTGTTCCATTGGAGCAGTGAGGTTAGACAGGGTTGCCCAATCTCACCATTCCTCTTCAACTTTTCCATCGACGACATTCTGAAAACAGCTCTAATGGATGTAAGCAATGGCGGTGTGGATCTGTTGCCTAGAGAAAGACTTCTCGACCTTGAGTATGCGGATGATATTGTCTTACTGTGCGATAATGTCCAAGTCATGCAATCTGCACTTAATCAGTTAGCAATCAGTGTCCGTAAGTATGGTATGTGGTTTGTACCTTCGAATTGCGAAGTACTTCTATAAAGACGGGTTTACTGAGCAGCAGTTTGTTCCGTCCTACTTTATGGCAGTGAAACATGGCCGGTAAGTGTAGAGGATATTCGTAGGTTACTATTATTTGATCATAGGTGTCTTCGAAATATTGCTCGTATATCTTGGAACTATCGAGTAAGTAACGCAGTTGTCAGGAAACGGGTACTAGGTAAGGATGGCAAATCAATTGATGACGTAGTGAAACTTCATCAGTTGAGATGGCTGGGACACGTGTTACGTGTGCCCAACCACCGACTGCCTCGACGTGCGATGTTCAGTGGTATAGGAGTAGGTTGGAAGAAATCTAGGGGTGGCCAGACCAAAACATGGCACAAGTCCATGAAGTCACTGACAAGTGGATTGAGTCATGTTGGTAGGTGTAGACTACCTGGTTGGGGACCGCGAGATGATAGCAACCGATGGTTAGAGACCTTGAATGACATGACTCAAAATCGTTTGCAATGGCGCAGGTGCATACACTCTTTGTGTTCTCCCAAATTTTGATCTTCTTATTCCTCTTTGTCTCTTTTTTTTCTCTTCCCAAGTTTATTTCACTGTATTATACTCTTTAAATAACATCTCCAAACACTAATTTTCCTGATTACTGCTTATACTCTTATTACCTCTACCACTACGGGATTTGAATCGACCACTGCATCACTGTGCTAATGAGGTGTGACAACTCGAACTGATGTACGTACGTACGAAGTTCTACGTTGTTACTGACTGACTGACTTCGATAAGACTGTCAGGATTCTAATCCTGTACTCACTCTGGATGGTGAGCAGATAGAAGTAGTCGAGAAGTTCGTACATCTGGGTAGCTGCATAGGTGCTGGTAGGGGTGTGAGTGATGAGATCAATGCACGTATAGTGAAAGCCAGAGCGGCTTATGCCAATCTGGGCCATCTTTGGCGCCTTCGTGATGTTAGTCTGGCCGTAAAAGGTCGGATCTACAACGCGTCGGTGAGAGGAGTTTTGCTCTATGCCTGTGAAACCTGGCCTCTCCGAGTTGAGGATGTTAGACGACTCTCTGTGTTCGATCATCGTTGTCTCCGAAGGAATGCTGACATCCAGTGGCAACACCATTTCAGTAATGCAGAAGTTCGGCATCGTGTGTTCGGGCACAGAGACGATAATGCAATTGGTGTTACCATCTTGAAACACCGACTTCGGTGGCTTGGACATGTTCTACGAATGTCGTCCCAGAGAATTCCACATCGTGCATTATTTGCCGACTCTGGGACTGGTTGGAAAGAGCGGAGAGGTGGTCAGTATATGACATGGTGTCGTGGCATGAAAGAAAGCTGCAAAGGAATGGCTTGTGTTGGTCCTTCACGACTCCCTGGTTGGGGTCTGAGAGATGGTGCTACACAGTGGCTAGAGACGTTATCAGATATGGCTCAGAATAGAAGCCAGTGGCGATCCTGCTGTAACCTTCTTTCACTTTCTTCGTAAAAAGTGGTTGTATCTTCCTTAACTGAAAGATTTCTTCTGATTGTACCTTTCTGTTCCCCCATTATTACAATATTATTATTACACTACCTTACACCAATCTCTTCGTTATCGTTCTTTTTTTTTCTACGCACCTTACCTTTTTTTCTTTTTCCTTCCCTTTAAATTCTCATTGTTTTGTGTGGCGCATATATATTTGGCGACTGTTGTACCAATATTTATGTGTTCAAATAAATAAATAAATAAATCTACGAGAAAACTAAACAGAAATCTACTGATAAATCTTCTGACTGAACAATTGAATCAGTTTCCTATGCTCTTTTAATACCCAAAGGCTAGCCACCATTCATTTCTGCTTAAGATGCTTGTGATTTAAGACAATATTGACACAATCCAAACAGGATGAATATATGCCAATAAGAGACTGATCAATTTCAGTCCCAAACACCAATGGGAAAATCCAAGCAACCAATACAAAAATGAATTAAAACTTCACCCCAATGCACTAGCTAGTGGCTATCTGAACTTAGTAGCTAAGTGAATAACGTGATGGCGTCTTAAGCGAATGGTAATGGGTTCGACTCCCGAAGTAGACATCAACTCTGAAATGCAAGTACATCCAGCTGACGAGCCCCAAATAGGATGAAACGCGTGATCCGGATTCCACAGCTAGCCAGCATTCATCTCTGTTTATATGCCTACGTACAATTGGATATAGTGCCCTGAAACTACCATCCAGAGTGAATGAATCTTAAGAACAACTAGAAATTTCCTAGAAATGCCAAAATGAGTCAGAACTATAAACTTTCTGAGTTCTTTTTGTTTGTTTGATCAGTTTTAGAAGCTTTATTAGAGGGTTATCAAGAGGGGAAGAAAAATGTATACTTCTACCATATATATCCTTTGCCTAAATAAATCTAGCTTCCCAAAATGTATAACAGAATTACTGCGCAACATTTTTAAAATCTTAAAATGACTAAATGATCAGAAAAATTATTAGTTTTGACGCATGACTCACTATATATATATATATATATATATATATATATATATATATATATATATATATATATATATATATATATATATATATATATATATATAATAAAGACTTCTCTACACGAAATAAGCGTTGAAAATGTTGGCCAGAATGACAAAGAATGCTACAACAATTGAATGATCTAGTTCAGAGAAGATTAACACCATTAAAATCTTAGAAAACTATGAATAAAATAAGAGTATATTTTACTTACTTTTGAGAAATAACCAATAATATGTGAACCATCTTGATCTGTTTCAGTTAATACGTAGAATAAAAATGCAGGAACTTGATCTAACTCATGAACTGTTTTTTGTTTCAGAAATAATTTAGCTAATAAACATAAATTTCGACAATATTCCTGTAAAAAAAATTTTTTTTAAATTTATTAATGTAAAGATTTATCGCTAACCTACTGAATATATAAGACAATTTTTTTAAAACATACTAATCACCAAGAAATATTAGTAGATAAACAGACAGATAGAATAATATTTTTCATGGCCTAATTGAAACAACGATATAATCAAGCTATTTATATGATTAAAAAGAATACCACTCGTTGTTAAATAAAAATGTTTACCATTCAAACTAACGACTTACAACCAACTCTTAATTGTTTCTCAGCTAAACATCAATACACGATACTAATACTACTACAGACCAATAAAACTAACTACAATGTGAAAATTATGTAAAATATTCTTTAAGCAAACAAAGTTACAAACATTTCATTTGCGAAAAATCCGAAATTGGCCTACCACGTGACGATATTATCAAGCTGAAAGATTTTATTCTCAATACTTCAAAAACAAACTTATGTGTTATTTATTTAATACATTTGAAATTATGATATATAAATAGATCAATGAGTAACAACTGTGTTTCTATTTTATTTTTTTGTATGATTTATTGGCAACTAAGTAGTAGTGACCAATATCACGTTTTTTCCTAGTCCCGTAGTGTTGACCAAATTCTATCGACCAAGTGGCAATGTTGCCAACAGTTTAAGTCAGCCAATATCATTGGTACTACGTTCATATGCTAAGTGTTTGGAGGTAGTTATGTAGTTTGAACAGTATTTAAGGATTAGATAGTAATGACATTGGTCGCTAATCAAATACGCAATCAACTATAAATATCTCATTTCTACAGAATATCAGCCATAGCCCGAATAGATTCGTAGTAATGTCTTAATCTGTGAAGCCAGGTTCGAATACTATGAAGAGTATCTTCCTCTCAAAACTGCAAGTAAGCCTTGATGACGAATACCCCACTGAACAAAACTTACGTCTAGGGTTTTCTACGGACCACCACCAACCAACACTTAATACTCTTTTTTGAGTAACAAGCTTCTCAACAAACGACCTATCTGTCTACTATCAGATTAAGAAAGAACCTTTTCTGTCCCATTATCGATGTTAGTCAGAGTTTCTTAACAAAAACGTCACGTGTGAAAAAAAACGGATAAATACATGACTATTTGACTTTGAAAATAACGAATTTATAAGCCCGAAAAACTAATTTCCAGATATTAATCTATGATTTCAAGATTTTTATCATTTATATTTTCATCCTTTCTACACAGCAAAAAGTTTATACTGGTCAAACAAAACAACAGGAACTATATTGAGGGAATTTACAAAAGTCACGATTCAGTAACGAAAGATGTTTCAATGAGAAAGTTTCGTTAATCATTCAAAATCCGTATTTTACACAACCACTAGATTTACATACATACACAATTACGCTGGGCCTATTAAAAAGATCTTCAAATAATGGTGGAGATACTATTAAAAGATTTTACTTTCCTACAAACAATCTATAAAAATGGATCAGAAAAATTACGATAAATTAACAGAAAATCTATTACTTTTGTATTCCTAATATATACGTAATTATCAATAAAACCCATGATAATTTAAACAAGAAAAAGTTTTTTTAAGTGGACTTACCTGATGCTTTTGTCCATCAATTTCAAAAAACGATAAATTCTCTTTACGATATATTTCATTACCTGGAGGAAACGTTCGACCACAATTAATCTGTAATAATTATCATGATACATGAATAACACTTTACCAACAAAATAAAAACAATTATTCAAATATGAAATCACTAAAAAACGACAAACAGTAGGGATATATGAGAAAAGAAATACAAGAGTGGGTAGGTCAGTCAATAATAAACGACATATGACTATATATATGCGCATCGATCACAGTTGCAAAATCATATTAGTATGCAAAGTAGAAGTATTGAGACAAATCCAAGAGTATTATAAGTAGTAACGGTATCGGTGGTCGTAGAACAGATAAAATATAGACAAGATGAATTAAGAATGAATTTGTGGAATAGAATTACTAAAGTGGTTTTTGCAAAGTCTTTTACTATTTGAATGTAATTTTCATTACATAGTGATATCAGATGAAGACCTATTGAAAACCGGATTATCACTGTAAACAGCTGTTTTAAATGTAATTCGAGACTTCTTAGTATGCACACTCGTAACGTCATATCGAAGACATTGTTAATACATCCATCCATATCAATGGGAAAAAACATAAGGCCATATAATTTAATATTTTAGAATATTAACAATCCTTAATATGTTTGAAATAGCCATGACCTGAAACATGACTTACATGTATGGTGAAAAGGGGTAATTGTTTTGACATAATTAGAATTTCTTTTCATAAATTTAAGACTGAAACGTTTGAATATTCGAGCATTCTGTTAAATAACACATTACTCTATTCAATAAACAATAGAACAGATCTCATAAAAACTACGAGGTATAAAGTATGGCGGTATAATACTTCCCTGCTGGTGGTAATATGCTTTTTTCATCTCCGTCTCCATAGTTTAAGATATCGATGATACACACATCAGACTCTTTAGTCACTTCATTTTGGTTCGCTACGATCGTATGGACAAACGATACGCCAAAATTTAGTTAATTGTTGGCCAGCTAGACAGTTAACTTTTTGATGGGAAAACATAAAAGACTGTACAAGTTCGAAGCCCAGGTTGACAGCTATCACGCTGAAACATTTCGTCGACGTGAATAAGCTATTTCCTTCAATGCGCTATCTCAGTAAAAGCCCTTCAACATCTCATGAATTGCTGAGAGTTCCCTTCAATTTAAACCATACAGATAAAATACTCGCAAGATATTCAAAAGCTACGTGAATACGGTTACTCATAAAGTCAATGGTCCGCTACGTAGAACAATGGTAGTTAACAAAAATAATTATTAATAAAATCTCAATAAAACATATTTCCATGTAAAAAAGGGCCAGATGTATGATGTGTACACTTGGGCAATGAATATTATTTAGAAGTAAAAGAAAGAGGTTTACACAGATTATTTGACATAGTAACCTAATTTATTCACATAACCAATGGCAAATACAAAAAAAACTCTAAAATGGTTAAAACCAGAGCCCGTCGATCCAATTATGGATCACTAGAATCCAACTCAGTGGATAAACTAACTAGTATGACCTAATAGAGTGGAAACGTAGGAATCCTATATCAAGAAATAGTAAAATCAAAATTTAAATGTAGTATTAACACAACAGCAATTCATCTCAATTTGTTCTTTTTTTAAACTATTATTAGAAATAACATTAAATGTAATCTGAATACAAGCTTAAACCATTTCAGATAACCATTAGACACTAAATATTACTACACCTACAGCTTACAGAATATCGGTAGGAAACGGAATTACATCTACTGTTTATCAATCCTGAAAGCAGAACACATTTAAAAAATTGCAGAAATTCATGGTGCCATTTGAATTTAAACCAATATCATCCATTGATGTAATAAAATGTTAACACCAAACGTTTCAACTTAAAACTATATCATCACATAGTTTTCCCCACTATAATCAGTAGAATCAGTAATCCGTAAAAACCAAGGATTACTTCGATTACTGCACAGCAAGTATTACGTAAAAAAATTATTGCTGATATGAAGGGGATTGTGGAAATGTGATAACTCATAGACAAATGAGCAAGAGTAATATAACGAATACACTTACTTTATGACGATCATATGCAACCTTATGGCGTATTCCACATAGACAGAATTCACAAATGTATATGGTAGGTAGACAACTCAAATCGGCAGGATAATTACTCTGATACCATGGTTGTAAATCCCATGTTCCAAAAATAACAGAACGTATGCGCTGTTCTGTAGCAAACTCAATATTTTCGGAAAATGCTTAATCTTATTTTGATGTGAAATTACAAACTACCATTATTGGGTACATTTCCTGAATTCGAAGCCACTCGTGCACATAGAAGTAAATGTTCTCGGGCATCCGTCTCCTCGAATGCAGAAAACAAAAAGAGACAATAAACCCATCTTTAACTGATGTTAAAATATTTATTAATAGACAAGAGACTTCAAACGAAAACAAATAACGTAGGTCAGATAATGCCATTTTCAATCAAGCCCTCATATAATACAATGAAATAACTAACAAAAGAGGAAATTTAATACAGCTAACATTAGGAATAGTGATTTGCATTCATGATTGATATTTGACAATATTTCATGTAGTCTTTAATTAAGTTTTGATGTTCTTCGGCACTAGACAAACACGCGTACGCTTTTAATACCAGTCGATGCATTCCTGAGTTGATTTTGAGTCTTGCGGCTACTAACTTACGAGTTCTTCCAATTTTAAGGTATTCCAAACCATCAAATAGGTAGTGAACTACCGTATATGTCACGTGTAAACATCTGCTTATCAAAGGAGTAAAAAGTCGTCAAAGATGTTTAACATGTAGGACTATAGATTATTATCCACTAATCTGTTTCACGTTTTACCATTTTATGTGGCATAACTAGATCACAAATAGGAGTCAAAGTTCAGAATCAAACCATTACGAAAATGAGATTTTTCACTCACTATAAGCTTATAAAATACTTCAAGGTCAATACAGATGGTGTAAACGATAAGGTAACTAAATTAAATCTTAAGATCAAGTAGAAGACGAAACTGTTTTTCAGGCTCGGCATTACAAAATAAGGGACAAGAATGTCCAACACATAAAACTTGGAGCTTTGGAAATAATTTATGAAAACAAACCCATCAAAAATGAGACAAACTGATGGAACACTTGGAAGGATTTGGAAATAAACAAATAAAACAAAATGAAACGAATAAATCTTATATATGCTTACATAGGTTGAAACCAATCTTTGTTGAGCACGACGAAACTGGTACAACTCTACTTGGCTAGCTAAATCATCAAGCATAGGTTCCCTTTGTGTAGTTTTAAACTGATGTGAACGGTCAACCCTGTGCTTAACTTTAGAAGGCGATGGTGAATTTTGAGATATCCGTATAATGGATTCTGGAACAACAAGACCTTCTTCCCGAGCACGCATCTCCGCCCATTTCACAAAGCTCATATTGTGATACAAAGGGCATCCAGATAGGGTCACGTGTGCAGTATCTCGGCCATTAATATGACCAATACCAGAACATCCAATTAAAGGACAATTAAAAGGGACATTTGAACGGTTCGCCGGTAGGGCCTGATTGAATTCTTTAGAAAATAAAATTGAAAGTACAAGTAACTACTTTTCTGTTTTTGCTTCACAGACCATGAGACAAAACGATGCTTTGATTTAGGTAGTTTGGAACGTGAGAATGGTAAGGGTCTTTCCATTTGAGAAAATTGATCACTTTTCATTGACCTGGAATGGAAATTTAAATAAAGACTGCAGTCGAAAATAAACGCATCTCAAAAAAGCAATAAGAGCAAGTCAGATTCGAAGCTAAGTTGCAAAGAAGCTTTAAGCAGTTAGATGTTACTAACATGCAGATCCAAAACAATCACTTTCGAGATTTTTCTAAACATGATTAATAATAAACGGAGAAATAATGGTATGATAGACTGTAAATATTAAAACATCGTTACACAAACTCTACAAATTGCTTCGAAAACGATGGCCCGAACGTAAAAACACAGCTTCTAACCAGTAAGTCAGAGTTTCGAAACATCTCATATCTACTCCGGTTTGGCCAGCCGGATTGTCACTGACCTTAAATTCCAATGCACAATCCCACATCTGGTAAATAAACGACACCTATCACTATTAAGAAGTGACGAAACAACGTGAAATGTTTTGTGCTAGTTAAAAAAGATGGCACTGATTGCTGATTATGCACTAACCGACAGTTAATTTAACCAAATTTTTTTGCATACACCATACCCTAGTTAAATGCTACCAAGTGAGTAAAGTTTCTAAAGAACGCTGGTATTGCTCAGAAATTGTTTGTCAGTTATAGTCTTTTCAAACTTATCAAGGTCACCGATTATAAGACAGATACAACCAGTGTTGACGGCAGCAATGAATAATTTCGGGTTCGACGAACACCCTGAATAACAATACTTATATTACACAAAAGACGAGTCTTTCGTGTGTCCCTACATGTCTCACGAAACCAATTACAAGTAAAAGCATATATTAGTCAAATATAGGCGTTATTTTGTCAATCCTAGAGAAGAGGTGTTAACAAACGACTCAAAGGAGAAATATTTTCGATTTGAAACCTATCCGGGAATATAAAATATCTTTCAAAAACGGCAACTTGAGTGGTTGAAATATCGGTATTATGCAGGACATACCAAGAATAAATCTTAAGATTCACAAAAATCAATATGATTGCCCTTTTCAAATTATGACCAAAAATGAATAATCACCACATCATCGAGTGATACGTGAAATTCAAGTAAGCGCCACTTTATTTTTGATCTCTCTGACTTTTTCAACAAATATGATTGTTTTTACACCAAGGTCAAGCGCAGAGACTAGGTACTAATGCTTACCAAAGTTATCGTTTGCTACGTCTGACCGCGATATTTGTGAGAAGCCAATAAAACAAATATTCAGAAATTCTCATATGATGCAAAGCATACAGAAAAAAATTGACTACCTCGGTTCAAACTAACTGTAACGCACTACCTAAATATTACGCACCTTTTACTCCGATATATTCAATGTGACCTTGTATAAACAAATTAATTAATTGCACTCGCTTCTCGTTGTTTCACTACGGTTCTATATACTTCATGATGTCTAATAGACAAAGGTCGTTCCACTCTATTACACCAATTATAGTCAGTTTGGCTGTGATTTGCGGACTTCGAAATCTTATAGTCCGAATGGTTGGATTTCAAACTTATCAAAATTAAAATGATGGATCAATAAATGTAAAAGCCTTAAAAAAAGATTCGATGGATAAAACAAAAGACGCGGTGCATACACAAATCCAGATTAAATAAGTGTAACGTCAACCTTTTGGGCATGTTTCCGTCTAGCCTGAAAGTACCTTGTACGCAAAGAAAGGGAAAGATTCTGGAACAGAAAAGGACAATAGGAAATATCAACCAACGACTCAGAAAGTAGATAATATACACTTCCAATATCCAATATGTTTGCTGCGGGCATGTGTAAACCTATTGATTTTGTTGCACTCACTTCTTAGGGTTTCGGTAAGTTTCCAGATATTTGGTTATGTCCAGTGAGTGGTAGTCTGACCACTCGACTACAATAGTTCTAGTCAGTTTAGTAGTCATTTGAGCATTTTTACATCTTGTAGCTAATTGAATGCGTTTGTCTTAGGGCAGTAGGATTTCTGGATACCAGTAGCTATCAAATTACCAGCTAAGAGGGTGGTTGATCGCAGTGTAAAAAAATGAATTATTAAATGAGGTCCTCAGAGGTGAATATTTCAAGAATATATAAGTAATTTACTAAGATAGTCATGTGTGGGAAAGTAGAATTGAAAAATGAAAGGGGGAACAGAGATGATAATAAGATCTGGGAGATAGTTTATAACATGTTGTAATGATAACCATTGTAAATTATGATACACGCATCAGATGCAACTGGTTCAAGAGTGTTATGGTATTCCATGGCTGAGTACGTATCCGTCAAGTTTCCTTTTTAAAGCTATGCATTGTGAGGGGCTGTGATCACAACGTCCGAGAGAGCATTCCAAATACAGCCAAGCCCTGGAGAGGAAAATCGATGTCGTGCGTGGGTGTTCACCATTTAAATGCCATCATTCGAGGGTTATCTCAAAGTAAGTGGTAAGGATGTTCTGACAATTATCTCGCGTTGAGGTGGCTAGACATACTTAATATCATGTATGCCATTATCAGATCAATTCTTATCCTAATATGGCTCGCTAGGAAATATCCCAGTTGTTAGAGTCTGTCAATACATTGACCTGATGACGCAACTGGTTATTCATCTTCGTAATTAGTCTGAGAGCTTTATGCTTCTTTAGAATGGAAGGGGCACAATAACATGGTGAACTTCAACGGGAGACCATGCGCACATTTTAAGAAGTGTTAAGAACAACAATAGGGTATACAAGCGCTTCCCGTTTACAAGCCCGAGATCAAGCTTTAAGGAGACAATAAGGAGTGGATTTACATGGCGAGTGTAAGTGGTTTATGTCACATGTGGTGGAGTATTCATGACATGGCATTTAGACAGGCTACGTTTTAATTCATTGTCTACTGTCCACTCCTCTATCGATGTAAGGTCCTTTTGAAGCTCAGGTGGATCCGTTTTGAGTTTTATGGACCTCTAGATCATTGAGTCATTTGTGTAGATCAGTGTTGTCCAGCTAATTTTATCGTCAATGGGGAACAAGAACAGGGGTGGACCTAAAGATTTTGCAAGTGAAACACGATATCGAGGCCCTCCAACCGGTGTGCACTCTATTTACCTTAATTCGAAACGTCCTGTCCTTTAGGAAGTTTCGGAACCAAGATAGAATAGGGCTGTAGATCACCAACGTAGATGATCTATGTCGAAATTATTAGAGGCCTACTCGAGTTAGACGTGAACGTTGTGACAAACTAGCTAGCGTCGAAGTCACACCTCGTGGTCAGCACCTTACATGGACTACCCAATTGACGTATCAAAGCACCATAGATGCTCTGAAGGCTGTTCAACATAGAGGACGTTATTACAGAAATATATTAGTTCAAGTAGATACAAGCAAAAGTAAGACCACTGCCGCATGGGCCAGTCCATGGCGTAAGATTAACTGATGTGTGTTGGTTGTCCCTAACATTGAGGAGGATCGATGATTTTCTCGACATTCAATAACCAATCTGCCGGATGATTTGGCTAGGGCTTAGTGACATCTTTGCAACCTTCGCTATGAGTACTTGAGGCACTGTATAAAAAGCTTTAGCTAATTCGAGGAACATTAAATAAACCGGTATCTTTTGGTCACAACAGGTCTTCCAGCTTTGTCATGATCTGAGGAGATTGGACTCACAGGATCTGCCTTTTCTGAGTCCTCATTGGACTTCCTATAGGATAGTTTTTATCTATTCTCTCATTTGTTCATTTAAAAGTCCTATTACTTTCGACAGTATTGGAAATTATGCGATAGGTCTGTAACAAATTGAGTCTTTTCTACCGCCTTAATGAAGATTGTAGAGAATGGACGGCTTACATTCTCTTGGCAGTTGGTGTAAATTTAGTGTGTCTGAACACGCCACACACTAGTATACTGATGGCCTGCGCACACTGTTTCAGGACTATATGTTAGTTGGTCACATCCTGATTTTACTGGGCGCAGGGAGTTAGTTGAACATCTACAAGATATTAAACTGCCACTGAAATTTAGACGCAGGAGGAATTGATTGGAATGACATAGTTTATCCACTATAACGTCGTCCTTGTTGTATCGCAGTTCAATTTGTTCTTCGTATTGCTGATCGTCGCGATAGGACGAGTCAGAGTAGTCTGAAGTGACTTCCAACCATGAAGACAGATGTATGTCAGACGTCTTAGTGACATCATTATGGCGGTCCGATCTAGTTGATATTGGGAATATCAAGCACGATATCTGGTCAACTCACATATTCACAACACAACCGTCCAATGACTCGAACCTGTCTAAGCAGTCATTATCTGAATGGTACGGATAATTTGAAATGAGTATTTCACTAACCACTATTACACGGGGGACCCGGAGTCTGTAGGACTTGTGCGGAAACCTGTCTATTCTGGAAAACTATCAAACCAAGATACGACTTAAACCGTACACAACATGAAAGTCTCATTAGCGGATAGATTCAACTCCCAACTGGATTAGAAACAACCCTATCAAATTTAACCGTTCAGTATTACCAGAATTCACAATAATAAAGACTCAAAACGAAGAACGTATAACTACATATACACACCTAAGTTAATATATGTTGAATAAAGTGATATTTGAATACGATAAATTGTACATTAAATCATTATTAAGGGAGGATAGATAAATAACGTATCATTTAAAAAAGATAGACAAATACAAACACAATTTATTTAACACGTTTCCGTTGTCTCTCTGTTTGAGGCTGTTTATTTTCGTCGCGAACTCGTAGAGGTACATGCCGAGACACAGTTGAAACACCGTCTACAAATTTTGTTTTGAATAGTACATTAGCATTGTTGAACATTCCATCCTTGAGTGACACTACAATGAACTAGATCCGAAGGGAGCATAAAAATAACGGAGTAACTAAACTAAGTACTGTGAAGTTTCTAAATACGAGTTATATAAAAAATGCAACGTATTTACATAACTACACAAATCATTTCTATTACGATACGCGTAAAATAATACTAACAATACCGTGATGAACACATAAACATAACAATCACAATATTTTGTATTGGGAGATCCTACACATCCTTCATTTCAAACGCTGCTTGGTAAGGCCGATCTACTTAAAATTAACAGGCTGCAAAATTAGAACCTTGCTCCAATTACATATATTCGTGCAAATTATTTGCTGAGAAGAAAATCGTTTATATATCTATATCATTTGGGGCAGATTAGCATAATTCTGAAATAATCTGAGAGCAGCCATCGAGGAAACATACTATCCTGGTAGACTGAAAAAGCTAAATCCCCGATTCCATATAAGATTAAACATCGTGCGAACGACTATGTCACATTCTACAGTATTCACTTATTTACATATTTATATAGACACACAGTGATCAAGGGTTACGAAGCACGTGCCCAAACGGTTTCAGAGTGACTCCATATCAAATACTCCGAAATACATAGAAAGCAGAAAACCAAATTCATTGACAACAAAACATATAAACACGACGGGTCATAGAATTGACCTTAATACAACTTCTAGGACGTTCTACAAGAACTATCAAGGACGAAATCTTAGACTTATAGAACCCCTAGATATTCGGACATCCAAATGCCCTTCATGAATACTGGAAAATATATTACAACCACGAGACAGCATTGTTATCCATTATGCAATTTACGAGCTAGGGTGATGTGACAATTTTCTATCCTTCCCATGATAAGTTAATTTTTTCGCGCTTATTTACGACTATTGCTTTGTTTTCGTTCGACAACTTATTCAATTAACCTTTATTAGTTTTTATGAATGCTGTGACAACCATATATGTGACCGGATTGTTCGAAATATATGACATTTTTCAGATTAATTCTGTACTGCGATAGCCCTGTTAAGAAGAAATAATTATGAACTTTTATTGCAAGCGTCTCAACTTGAAACAGAGACACGTCAACTGTCAAACAAAATGTGTAAGTTACGTAAAGACCATAATAAATTTGCACATTGCCAGTCAGCCAAGGGAAAATATTGCATAAAACAATGCGTATAAGCTAAATGTTCATACTTTTCTAATTTATTATGTGAATATTAAAAAAGAAACGACTTGCAATTTTCACTGTTAGGAAGAATGGCCTATCTGTCAAATCTATTTGTACATCGATACTCCTTTCTTCCTTATTCGAATATTTCTGTATATTACATCATACCACTTATTTAAACAGTAAACAATTTCAAGATCCATCAATTCGAACATACAATACGCAAAACGGATTGGCCATCGTATGTTACTGCTTAGCGCTTGCATGAACCTGTGTCACTCTGTTTACTTATCATTCTGACCGCAA